GCTATGATGATTCGTTCATACACGTGTGAGTGATTTTTGATTGTGAATGAACAAAAGTCACAAGCTAGCAGCTGACCGTGGGCTGGTAGATGGGCTTTAACTCATAAAACAAGCCGAGGGCCCAATCACGAGCCAACTAAAACGACACCGTGACGCCCGCGAAATAATGTGCACCCTTTGTTTCCGTACCAACCTGCTAAAGTGAAGAGACTGAAGTAGATCCCCGAAGACGGAGAGAGAGCGCAAAGAGTGGCAAGGCAGCCAACAATGGAAACTGGAACAACAGGAACAAGTGTCAAGGCTTCGTCTCTCAGATGGAAAATTCTTCGTCAAGCTATTCTCCGCAAACCAAACGGTGCCTTCCTCTTCCTCAATCTCTCTCTCTCTCTCTCTCTCTATGATCAAATACAGTCTGAATTTGTTGTTGAATTTGAATAGTTTGTGAACTGTAGCAGATGAGCAATCTGAAATCGGCGTTAAGCGAATTACGAGGAAGACGAGGCAGGGCTTCAACTTGATACCATGCCATCTCGTTGACGACCCATCTCACTCGAGCGATGTTACCGTCTGCTACACCTTGCCCATTGACTCTGCTCCCAAGCTTTACCTAACGTGAGCTTAGAATTTTGTATTTTTGAAAAGCTCATCAAAATTGAATCTTTCATTTCAATTTCTCATGCTCAAACTTAAGCTTGCAAAACCCAAGAGCTCGTGTAAGGGTACTGTCCAAGTTGTTTTATTTTCTCTACGTGGGACATCTGAAACATGGCACAATGAGCTGATAATATATATATTTTTTATTAAAGGGTCTTGTTCTTGATACATTGTTATAGATATCTTTTATGTGATTGGTGGAATTTTTTTTTTGGCGCAGTCAAAGAGTGGTTGACCATGCTGAACTCAGTGACTTTGAGATTTGTAATAAGTACAATATTGACAACACTGGGCTTGTTTGTAAGTTCCCATTTAGACAAATTGGCTACACATCTTACTGGTTCTGGGATTCTGAACAAACTTTTGGTTTAATGTATCTTGTTCATGGTTTTGTACAGGTCAGTGGCCATCAGAAGAGGTTCTTGCATACTTTTGCTTGTCACACGCAGACATGTTCAGGTTGTTATGGGTTGTTTGCTACCTTCTGATACAGCTTTCAACGTGCATTTTGCTTCTATATGATTTCTTTGCATTTGATTTCTACTTTCTAGGTCTAAGAGAGTAATTGAGCTTGGATCAGGCTATGGCTTAGCTGGTTTAGTTATTGCAGCAGTCACTGAGGCATCAGAAGTTGTAATTTCAGATGGAAATCCTCAAGTAGTTGATTGTATCCTAATCGTATCGTGCTAAAGGTTAATAAAGATGGGAATGCTAGTTATATGAGAAACATTAAACAAGTTGGCTTATCCTATCTGATGATTTTTCAGAAATTTTGCTCCGAAAGATGCATAACTGAAGCAGCTTGATAGGCACTTACCCAATTTGGGATCGGTCTTTTTCCATTTCCCTTTCCAGGGGTTGTAACTGTACATGTCCTAATTGCAAGTACAAAAGAAGGTTTAAGATTGTTTGTATTCTCTAGCTGTATCTTTTATGAAAGGAGGCTGTTAAGCTCTGCTCAAGTTTTAATGCTTGCCTAGGATTGATTTGGAGGGTTTCTTGTGCCCTATGAACATGGTTCTGGCTTGGGATCTTTTCAAACCCACAAGTCATTTCACGTTGTGTTGTCTCATCAAGGAACCGTCTATTACTAATAGAGGTTTTTTTTCCCTTCTCTTAAGTGAATTTGGAAATATCTACTTGTTTCTATTATTGTGTTGATTCAAAACCAATTTTTCATTCAGTGAATCATAACCTGTTATGTCCAGATTCCTTAATGTTTAGATATTCAGCATAATATTGACGCCAACTCTAAAGCATTTGGTGGTACAAGAGTGAAGTCTATGATGTTGCATTGGAATCAGAACGAAATTTCAAATATCTCTAGCACTTTTGATCTCATTGTTGCCAGTGACTGGTATGTTCCTTTTGCTTTTAAGTTTCCATTTGAACAATCTGTGCATTTTCCTTTTCCATTAAAAGAAGGGAGGTAGTGATTGAATCTGGATCAAGATAATGTGCCTTAGTTACCACAAAGCATGTGGCAAGTGGTATGGACTTCCCAATGATTTCTTCTTTCTATCATGAAGACATGGAATTTGGACTCAGTTGATGCTATGGTGGTTATCAGGATAGGCCCAACTTTTTCTGTAGACCACTTTATATTCTCAAATGGATATGGTGGATTCCTCTTTGTTTATATTCAATTGATATTTTTTATGAGTTTGGGAGTTTATTGGTGAGGAAACCTTTTGTCAATTGCAATTTAGGTTGACCTGGGGAAATCTAACATCTTGGTTTTGTTCACTAGCTGACAAGAGGCATTTGTACTGAGTATGTAACATAATGCATGAACACACATGATTGCACACTAAATGGTTTCAATTTTTTATGCTTTATATTTGGTTATATTCATTAACTTGATATGGCATATTCACAGCACTTTCTTCAAGGAATTCCACAATGGACTTGCTCAAATTGTCAAGTTCCTGTTGGGAAAAGTTCAGCCCTCGGAAGCTATATTTTTCAGTCCTAAAAGGGGTGACTCGTTGGACAAGTTTCTAGAGAAAATCGAAGAAAATGATTTGCGCTTCAGCATAACAGAGAATTATGATGCAGAAATTTGGAAGCATCATACGGAGTTTATGAATGGTGCTGCTTCCTGGCCCAGCTACCAAAAAGATCACTGCTATCCCTTATTGATCAGAATTAGTGTATGAACTTTTGAACCCATATTCCTTCGTCAGCTGCACATATTTCAGGCAATATAGATTCGTCTCTGGTGGAATCAAATTTTGCTGGTTGAGCTGTGCTGTAGCATGTTTGAGTGCACTAATTATTGTAAGGAAATAGGAATTGCAGCGTACTGCCTGAATTTGGTACTACTTCCCCCACAATTTATGGATCCAGATCCGTAGTCGCTTCAACTGCATAGTCCTTCCATATCATCGTGTAGATCCTCCCTGATTTTTAGTTTACCAATGGAAGCGAAAGAATGGCATTACCGGTTTTGGTTTATTGTATTTGTGATTTCCTTTTTAAGTCTATAGGTCTTAGCAGATTTATAGTTTACCAATTGTAATGCAAGAATGAGATTGCTTTTTTGATTGATATAATATATTCATGATTTCCCTTTTAGCATGATCTAGGAGGGTGCATTGAAAGTTTTATACTTTTGTCTGAAGATTCCTCATCTTTGAGCATCAAGTCACATATTTAGCTTTAAAATACAGCCGTCCATGAGTAAACAAATACATGGACAACAGAGGACGCTGCTGAACAACGTCAAAAGCAATACTCCTTGGATCAATTAAACTAACATATTGGGAGTGGGAGATAACTTGTTGCTTTGAAGTTGGATGTCACTGCAGGCTCAGAGCAGTGAACAAGCCTCGTCCGCAGAGCAAAAAAGTGACATGCCCTGGTTCAAATTCTTAGCTTTTATAAAGGTGAGTCTTATCTCCTTGCATTCTCTTCTGTTTGATTCTGTTTTTATGAAATTTTGACTTCTCACTTAACCCGAAAACTATACGCAATTGCAAAGCACAACCTTTCTGAAGTAGCAATCAAAGTTTATGACTGATTATGTCTGATTCGATAATATGGTGCAACTTTGGGAATAATGATATAGTAGCCTTTTCATGTGAATACTGCAGTTCTCTTACCCATGCAACAAAGGTTATGTCTTATGCTATGAGGTTATTTTAATCTGTAAGCGTATTGACTTGAGGGATGAAGAAAAACTCCACGGCACTGGTCTCTCACTGTAGTGTCAGACCCATTTTTATTGTGGGTCTGTTACATTTTGTGTGTGAGAGACTGGGGCTATGTGCCGGCCGGGCATACAGAAGTTTTTCTAAAGGATGACCCAAAATGGGTTAAATTTGATAGAATTCATACTGAGAAGGAAAAGAGTATATTTCTATTACTATTGATGATGGGTTACAGTCAATGTATCAGTCAATAAAGACTACCGTTTTCTTTTTTTTTTATTTAACAATGGAGGTAAAAGGTGTATATATATACACAAGAGACTATACAGGAAACCCTAGGACAAGGACCCCTGATGATGACTCATCGGATAAGAATAAGGAATATGCTTGTCCTTGTGTTGAATATGCCTTTGTGACCGTTGGAGCATAGCAGCTGTCATAGCATGGGTGTGTTGACCATTTTCTGGTTTTTGCTGGGTGTGATGATCATTTTGATCAACCATAGAGTTATGGCTAATAAAATTGTTTTAAGGTAACATGTTATGTTCACATTTCTCTTATTTTCTACTGTTTTTTTATCAAATGATCAACAGATGGTGAAAAGATGATGAAAAGATGGATTACGAAGCACCACAATTGAAAATGGACCGCAGTCATGATCAAATATCAATCATCATCTTATCTCGAAGAAAAAGTTGGTTTGTTTCTGTCTTTGTAATGCTTGCTTTGTGTGGTTCTCTCCCACTCAAGTTGGTGAAGAATCACCTCTTTGTATGCATATATATGTCCAGGATGTCAAGCTCCAAGCAACTCATAGTCATAGGGCGGCAATTTGGATCATACTTGCGTTGGCCTTTTTAGGCTGGTTTGCTTATCTTACTAGCAATTATAATGATGTTTTAGGATCTTCCAACAAACACAAAACAAGAATCATTTCAGAATTGACGTTTTGAAATCGCATATTTTCTTTTGGCTTCAGGCTGTGATAATCAAAATTGGAGACCCCTACAAGCACTGCTGCTGTCCAATCATGAATGCTCACCACTTACTTCCTATTCACGCTACACGTTTTGCATCGAAAAGTGATTGCGCAAGTGAGTCGCGACTAATTTTTTTGTCAGACCTACTGTGAGTGGCGTCTATTACAAAGGCTGCCCCTCGCATTAGGTCTCCCAGTATTGTTCTTTAAACATATAACAAGGGGCAAAAAAGCACATTTTTATTTCTAAACAAATGCTTATGCTTTATGCATTAATATATGTGTAAGTATTGAACGCTCAAAATGGGGGGATTTGGAAGTGGGTGTTGCTGTTGCTGCTTTTTATAGGGACTCCCAAGATCAAGGATGCCAATTAGTGGACTCATACTCCTTTGGGACATGAGTGGCTGCCTGTCTGCTACTATAACTGTGAAAATGAGAGGGCCAAGGAGATGACCAAAACCAACATGCTTCGGAGAGCCATGGAAGGTTGGGCTCTTGTTGAATCCCCTGCGGCCAAATCTGCAAGCAATGATGAGGCCAGTAAGTCCGACCCGGAATCTGACCCTGAACCATCGGTTGTTTGTGAAGAGGAATCTGTTGCGGATTTTACACTGTACAAAAACATATTCCATACCAAGTTAATGTCAATTATACGCATAATTAGCGTATCATTGAAGTCAAATTACTATTTGAAATCAACCTCAAAAATACAACTCAAACACTTTAAACGAAATATTCTATGACTTCACAATTTAGTTTGTTACGTCATTTGGAGAAAGAACTTCCATGCAACAGTATATCCGAATTATACATACATGTTACGTTGTTAGACTATTAAACATGTTACATTGTTGGACTATTAAGTCATTATTTCGTTTTCAAAATTTTTTTACTCAAATTATTTTGTTTAAAATTAATAATAAATTAACAACTTAATATTGTAAATTACTCCATGATAATACCTTGGAAGAAGAGAAGCGCAAAATGTGATCGTATAGTCAGCACCCGTACACGTAAACGTACTGGATGCATCGTCGTAAGCGTAGCTGTACGATTTGGGGCACGCGGACTTAAACAGCTGCGAGTACATGGACGGCTTACACGTGGACGGTGACCCATACTCGCCGTTGCAACAATACTCCGGAGTCCCAAACGCGTCGCATGCGCTCTTGCAGGCGCCGCCGCCGTCTACTTTGAGCTCGGCGGGGCACCGACGGTTGAGGTCCGTAGCGCAGCCCGTGGACGCGCACGTACCTGATCCCCCGCTCCCTTCAACGATCATAGGTAAGTTATAACCGTCAACCAGGCTGACGTCATAGAAGTCTGGAGAGCCCGAGCCGAGTGTGAACTCGGCTAGAGTGGCTGGCGGTGCAGCTCCGGCGCCGTTGCACTCAAGCTGGCCCGAACCGCAGTCGCCGGTCGAACATGAGCCGTGGCCCGAACCGTCGAAGTTGCAGCCGGTTCGGCCCCAGAAGCGGCCGGACCAGCCTGTCGGGGCTTGGAAGGAGCGGGAGCTGCCTTTGGCGAGCTCGAAGCCTGTGCTGTCCAGCTTGGGGCTGCCGGCGCTGGCTAGAATTCCTGGCCATACTGTGAAGTCACACTTGTTTGTGAATGTGAATGTTGCCCCTGTGACCCCTGCAAACCAAAACCAAAGAAAACATAAACATACATACATATATGGTCAAATTATGAATATTTTGATTGAGTTATGAAAATGTGTGAGGAACCCAAGTGGTGAAATTGGTTTAATTGTTGCAATTTTGGGTTTTTACCTTTGGCAATGATGAGAAGGAGGAGGGTGATGCAATACCAAAATTGAGTACCCATTAGGACTTTTGTGTGTGTCAAATTTGGTGAATTAAGATTGTTTAGAGATGGTGGTTCCAATCCAAGAGAGAAGAAGGATAGAAAGGCAGGGCCTTTATCTTTGATAAATCAAAAATGTCAGAGAGAGAGAGAGAGAGAGAGAGAGCAGAGAATGGTGTTTAATTCTCTCACACAGACACTCTGCAAATGGCAAAGGATCAGTGTGAGAGAAAAGGAGAGGGAGAGAAGGAAGAAGGAAAAGATTGTGGGCGTGGTGGGAGAATCTTAACCTTCAGCTGTGAGGCTCTATTTGTAGAGAATTGTAGAAACAAAGGAGGAGCGAGATAGCAATGGGAGTGTCTGTATCACCACCGCCTCACAGTCATGGGAAGCACTTTTGCTCTGTAAAAATATTACCTGCCAATTAAGTTTGAGCTTAGTGTTGTGAAATCACTATTCAATATCACACTTATTGGGTAAAGATGTCTTTTTCATCTGGAAATCAGCTGGAACCTGCTTGAAGGGCAGCAGCCACCTTTTCTTTTTGACACTTGTCTAATTCTTTTTACTAATACAGTTATTTTTTAATTTATCCCATCACCATGAGTTTGAGTATGATTTTTTTTTTTTTTTTTTTCTCGTAGAATAAAAAAAATATTTCTTTTCTCTTCTGTTTTTATCTCTGTTATGAAATAATTGTCTTCTTCTAGAAACCCAACAAGAACAAAAAAATAAAATAAACAAACCTATAGTGATAAATGATAATTATTATTAAGGTGAAGAGAAGACCATGGCAAGGGCGTGTGGGAAGCCACGTGGGAGAATATCATTGGAGTCAAATGCACTACGAGGCACCACGTGTCCACTCATATTAGTGCGGTTTCAATTCATGTCACTTAATTAATTATAAAAAATAAAAAAATAAAAAAATCACATGCAAAATTGAGGTGGAAAATGACCCCTGTCTAGGAGGCTAAGAACCCCCGTAACAAGGCGGGGATTTGGTTTAGAGGCGGTTTACCTTGCCGGCATTGCATGACGGGGAAGCCAACGTTGCCTCAAATTAGGAGGCAAGTCACATGGTCTTAATGCGGGAGCTTTATATAATGGCGGCCAATTGTGGTGGTTGGCTAGTTGGTTTTCATGTGCTTGAAAAGCTTTTCTCAATCCGTAAACCTTGCTCGAGAAGAAAGTTATCGTGAGAATGATATTGGTGTGTGTTGTCGGCCAAAAGTTAGATTGTCACTCTTTATGGTTTTACGGTTTCAGTTATATAGTTGCTCTAGTTGATCAAGTGAGTAAAAATGGTCACTCTTTATGTTTGTGCAATCTTGGCATTTTGTATCCCCCGTATTAGACACGGGTTTCCAAGTGCCGACACTCCGACATTTTGGGCTTAATGGAGTGTGCGTGCAACATAGCCTCTAAATTGTCTTGATTATAAATAAACTATGAAATTGAAACAGTGCTTCACTTCCCATGTGAAATTTATGGACCCATCACATGTACCATATGATATGTATATATATATATCCTTTTTCAGGTCAATAGTTTTGTCTGAAACATCTGAGAGGAAAAGAAGATTTGATGAAGCCAACAATCCACAAGCCTGGGAAATTGCAGAACCTTATGGGAAAACGATGGCGTGCCCACTTGTATCCAAGTTCGTTGGTCGTTTCATTCAATCTTTTTGTTTGAGTCTTGATTTTAGCTTTTCAGTGGGGCAACAATGTCTAGCTTTCTAAAGGGGCAATGCCATGTTATATATATATATTGAAAGATAAGCCTTTTCAAATCGAAAGTTAAAAAAGGGTTATGCAGATAGACTCTACCTAATTAAGGCCACACCTTATCTATATATCTATCTACTTTCTGTTTTGGTTTATTTTAGACCTCGTTTATAGCAGGAGATGACTCAAATGCGTACTTTTCAACCTTATTTTTTTGAAAAATAAATACATAATTTGGACTTTGTATGCAAATTGTCGCCTGAAGTTGTTTTCTGACTGTAATTTGGGTTGATGTGTGCTAAATGCCAAATGTCACTAAGGTCAAAAAATAAGAAAGTGAAAATTGTTGAATATATGACTGTATGTACTTTGAGTAACTCATCAAAATTTCCTTTTATGTCGATAATTATAAGGAGATTATTAGTAACTTTTTCTTCCCTTATTCTTTTACTCAGCTTTACTTCCCTTTCGAATTCCATTCTCAAAATTTTATGAGTAAACACTAGTGTGAAATTGATATACATTATTTACTTATTCTCTCACAACTTAAGTTTTTTGGATTAAACCAATGAGGGTTGCTTCAGTTGGTAAGGTCCATGTATTGTGTGTAGCCACCACCAGTGTTCGGGACTCATTGGTGCGTCATCTGTAATTTCCTACATAACTCAATACCGGTGGCAGTTAGCGGTTGGGTGCCACGCGTAAGTCTTTCCGGCTTGAGATTATGGGTATGCCTGACGCTGATGGTGAGAGTAGCCAATCTTCCCTTAAAATTTTCTTCATTTATAAAAAAAAAAAAGTTTTTGGGATTAGTGCCTTAGAGAAGAGTTTATCCAATATCTCTAGCCAAACGTAGGGAGCGAATTCAGTGACTGGCCTTGGGGTTGAAGGGGAGTGTTAGAATTGATTCCAGCATGGCCTAGGTATTTTTAGAATAATATAATAGTAGTATATGAATATCTTCCCTTAAAATTTTCTTCATTTATAAAAAAAAAAAAGTTTTTGGGATTAGTGCCTTAGAGAAGAGTTTATCCAATATCTCTAGCCAAACGTAGGGAGCGAATTCAGTGACTGGCCTTGGGGTTGAAGGGGAGTGTTAGAATTGATTCCAGCATGGCCTAGGTATTTTTAGAATAATATAATAGTAGTATATGAATACATTAACCCCCTTTCCTTGTAAGCCGGTTTTGCAACGATAAAAATTCTACCGTATGTGGCAAGTCATCTCCCCATTCTTTGTTGGTTTGGAGGGTGCAGGGTGAGGCCATATTTCGAATTTAGAAATACAAGAATGCCAACAACTATATCAGTATATGCAGCAATGAAATGTATGGAAATACATATTTTATATCTAAAATGAACTATATTTATACTAACGCCCCATGAGGTTTTCGGTGTTTTCACAAAATTCTCGAAGTTTCAAAAATTACTCGAACACCCTCTTAGGTCTTAAAGGTTTTTCAAGTTATTTATACTAGCTAAAACACCTTTGAAGTTTTTTTTGTTTTCACAAAATACCTTTAAGCCTCTCAAGTGATAAGTTATATGCCGTGGAAAGTACATGTGCGGATAAGATTTTTATCTTTTTCTTTTTCATCAGCATCATCATCATCATCAGCATCATCATCATCGATCCATCAATCCATCGATCATCCTCTTGTTTTGTATTTGGTTTCAGCACCCTTTTTTCCTTTAGTATAAAGACAAGTACGTCACCCAACCCACCATACCACTTTTGATACTAAAAAAAACATTCTTTAAAAGAAAGAAAAAAAAAGGTTTATGCAATCGGGAATCCTTTGTTTTTTAAGCCTTAATTTCACTCTATAATTAAACTTGCTTTTGTAATTGTAATTTTGAAGGGGAAAGGATGGTATTATGAATGAGTAACGGTGAAAAGGGGAAAAGGGGAGATATTTCACTAAAGTTGGCATAATCAGACAGACATGATAAGGATAATAAGATGCATTTTGGGATATAAGAAAAAGTAATATAAACGATACAAGTTTGCATGGGGTCAAAGGAAGGAAATGTAAACATGGAATGGAGCTAGGAGGCAATAGGTTGTAAAGCGTAGCTTCAGTTTTGCTTATCAAGATATGGTTATTAAAAGTGCTTTTTTAATTTTTTTAATTTTTGAATTCCTATGTATATTTTGTTATTAGGTTTAGTTGTTCACAACTCATAACAATAAATATGTATACCTTGTCAAGGAAGTTAAGGTTCCCCTCCCAAAATTAATTGGCTATAGGAAGAGTAGTTAAGAGAGAAATTGCATCGTAAACTTGATTCTCTTGGCATAGCAAAGGCTATAACGAGAGATTATAATGAGGGATTTCTTAATAGTTGTCCAATTTAGTACAGAGTTATTATTGAATTGCTAGATTGAATACCACTATTAAATTTAGCAAATTTGTAGGGTCTTTTGACAGTTTTGGCAGCCATCTGAGCCAAAGCCCACTAAGATTGTATGCTCAGAAGCCCAAGAAATTGATCAAACTTGCTTTTAGATCTGAGCAAGAATAAAATTGACTTTTTTAAAAAGTTGGTTCCTTTTCCATCGCAGCCACCAAAATGTTCAACTTCTTTTGCTTCCATTAAAGTCCTCTTAGTCGAAATGAAAGTGATTATGTTGGATGAATATGAGCAAATCTTAGAAAATCAAGTGTGAATCAATTAAGTTTCTATTGCTAAAGTTCAACATTACACCGCATAAATGCACATTAGAAAACGACAGATTTTTGTTTTCAACAATAGATAAAGAGATGCTTTGCGTAAAGGCAGCCACATTGGAGTTTTCAAACTATTGTATTCATTGTAGGTCTAGATATACTTTGAGTAAAAATATGTAATTCTTGAACATAACCACATTTTAATTTGTTTGTTTGTAATTTTTTTTGGGTCACATCCAAAACCAACACTTGGAATACATCTTTTTGATCTTTCTTTTCCATGGACGGTTTGTCGAAAATTTACACGTTTTACTTGCCTTACAAATTTTATGCATATATATGTGGTGTTAGTGCATGGGGATATGAAGTCAACGTAAATTATATAGTGTTTTCAAATGAAAGCTCCAATTCAAAATGCCCACCGAAACAATATATGTGGATGTGATCACAAGTAAAAAGAAACTTGTTTGCCCTAATTTTGCTGTTTCTGGAATTCTTTTATCACAAAAAGGAAAGTTGGGAAAGTAGCTACAAAGAAAATTATTAAAGCTTTACAGCAGCATCTTATATCCTGCAACTATTTGTGGAAATAAAGGTTTTTTTTTTTAAAGAAAAACTGAATGAATAGGATATGAGAAATGGAAAAAAAAGCACAGCCAAGTTGGATATAGCTTTCCTTTCCATGCAAGCAGCATTGTAATGTCTAGGTGTTAAAGCTACATAACTGATCAACCTTTTTATCCACCAGAAAAAATGTGGAAAAAAGCAAATTTTTTTTTTTTTTTTGGTTCCTTCACAATCTAGCCAAGACCCAAGGACTACAACAGATTGGTGGCTCTAATTAATCACAATAATCGTGCTTCATTTGAGACATTTCCTTGTCATAATATTTCCCCCTTTTTTTTAAAAGAATAAAAGCACTTTTTAATTAAGTTAGAAAAATAAATGGCTTGGTAAGTAAGTAGAAAATCTTTATAAAAAAA